TCAGGGCCTTGCTCGCAGCTTAGGGTTTACAGTTTAAAAGGTTGATCTTAACGATTTTGCGGGTACGGTGTTTACACAGTGTCTATAGGTTTTAGACCAGATTTTTGGGGGGTGGCCTTAAACCCTAAACCCTAAGTCGTGTGGTAACAAAGTCAGGTTCAGGGATGCCTCACTGCGAAAAAAAATGGCTGAAGTAACATGGGGGGGCTGTTCTGAAGGTCCTTTTAAAGAAGGGCCTCACAGGGGGATCCTAACCAAACAGCGAACCAACATTATGGCCACTTTGGGGACAGGGTTTTTGAACAACTACCACATGAAACCTGAACATGGACTTTTTGTTGGAAACATCCTTTCTAAATGGGGGCTATACAGGGGTTCCATGATAGATTGGAGGAGGGTAAACACGTGGGAATGGGCAAGTTTTCGATCTAAGAGCCGAGCCAGAAAGGCAACTCTTCTGAATGCTGAACGCCAAATCTTCCTGAACCTTGCTTGCCAGACCTGTATAATGCACCTGACGAGGAACCATTCAGATCATAAGCGTCCCGCTAGGAAGAAGCGGGGAAGCTTGCTTGGCAGATTGAACCCTAAACCCTAAACCCTAATGCATGATTCATGCATTAGGGTTTAAGGTTTAGAGTTCAATCTGCCAAGCAAGCTTCCCTGCTTCTCCCTAGCTGCATGAACTTAGCATCTGAGTTGCCATCAACTAAAGTCTCCCACCCACCAAACAGTCGGTAGGAGCTATATCAAGTGCATCTGGGGATAATAGAGGCGTTACATGGGGACGATACAGGGATATTACCCCTTATAATGGACAGTCAAATGGAGAAGAAAAGAGATATGAAAGGGATACTGGGGCTAAAAATGGGTTATGTAGGGAGAGCCCCTTCCCTCAAAGATATTATGGGTGTATGCGGGCATGCCACAATGGACTGTTTCATATTAGGGGTTGAGGGTTTTGGTATCAGGGGCGGGGGGAAGGGGGGGGGGCGGTAAGGCATTATGAACAAAACCGGGATGCAACGCCCAGGTTCTAAGAGACAATTGGGGATCCCCTTTCACTATGCCAGAATATTATCATACTTGCTAGGGACGCATGGACACGCAAATAAAAACCCTTAGTTTTTGAAACTCCATACAACTAGCGCAGCAATGCTAATCAAGAAGCCTTGAGGGTCCAAGGGCCCAAGTACTAGGGCTTTAGGGCCCAAATACCATTAATATTATAGTGTATTTGGGCCCTAAAAACACTATTATTTGGGTCCTTGGACGCAAGACAAGTAACCAGCGTAATCGCACCGTCAGACTAAACGCACTCGCTCTCCCAAGAACTTGACAACCAGCAACCCCCGGGCGCAGGGTTTATCAAGGCTTTCAGGCTTGTACCCCTAGGGTTGTAGCCCTGGGTTTTGGGATCCTTTAAAGGGACCCTCGGGGGCTACATTGGCTCAAGTAAAGGCTATAGTGGGGCCATATTGGGGAAACCTTCTAGTACAACCTTAGGTTTACAACCCAAGCACCCTTGGGTTTAGGGCTAAGCTCTGTCTGGTTCTCAACAAGTCCCGTTTTAAAAGGTTGTATTTTACTGGCAATTGAGTTTCCCGAATTTGACATTTATCGACCTCCTATGAGCATCCAAACCACCCCTTAGTTCTCTGCTTTCGATGGCCACTACCGAAGATTTTCTGTCTTTGAGGGAAGTGGTGAATAGACTTGGGGAAGGGGTCAAGCATGTAAACGTTTTCAAGGTGGTATAAAACCTGAGTCGTCTGATCCCGGGTTAAGATAATCCAGGTTCTATCAAAAGAATTCAACTGCCTGTAAATTTAGCTTCAGAAGGTTATCCACGAAGAGCCCCGTCATGATCATCAAGCCCTATATTGATTCCTCGTGGACCTTAGTCGGATCGTGCAAAATGAGCAGCACAAATCTGCAGTATAAGCAAACTCTAAAGAAAGCGATCAGATCAACTACAAGAGCGTAGATTATCTGGTGACGCTAAGAGATAAGGATCTTGTAGGAGGCCTTCTTGGTTGGGATTACATATAAATTGCGACGACCCGGGGGGGGGGAAACGGTAAAGGCATCCGTCCCACTTGCCCCACTTGGCAAGTGGGGCAAGTGGGTCAAGTGTCAATTGGGGCAAGTAGAGCGAGTGGGTCGAGTGGGGCAAGTGGCAGCGGACCCTTAACCCCCCCAACGCCGACACTCTCTACAAACACTCCTTGATAGTCAACCTACCTACTGGTGGATACTGGTGGTAAGTAGGGAATAAGGGAATATGATCCCTACAATATTCCATTACTCCCTACCCTAAACCCTAAACCCTGACCCTATTCCCTACTAACCCCCAGTAAACCCAAAACCCTAAACCCCAAACCCTAAACCCCAAACCCTGTAACCCTAAACCCTAAAAGTCAAGGTGGGTCGGGTATCGAGATCCGGATCCTGAGTTCAGGCAGATGCGGGTCTTGCAGGATGCGTTGAGGCATGTGGGCTGCGCAATGCTATTTCGGTTATATAACCGGTTTAGTGTTTAGGGTTTAGATATTTAGGGTTAAGGATTTAGGGTTTAGATATTTAGGGTTTAGGATTTAGGGTTTAGATATTTAGGGTTTAGGGTTTAGGATTTAGGGTTTAGATATTTAGGGTTTAGGGTTTAGACATTTAGGGTTCAGGGTTTAGGATTTAGGGTTTAGAGTCTCAACTCCTTGGAGGGGGTTATATAGTGGATTCTATAGGCGAGCATTATGGGGGATTCTGACGGGGGGTAACAGGACTTTAGCCTAGGCTATAGTTCATGGTCTTACCATGGCACCGCTGCAATCTCTACTAGTCTCCAACAGTCCAATCTTCATTGATGAGGCCTTGATTGCGCGGCCCATGCATGCAATGCGGGGAAGGATATAGTAGCTCCATGATATTTGGAGCATTCGCGGCAAGGGGTTCCAGAGCCCTGAAATGGAAGACTCGATGCTGATTCCTAACACGTTCAATGCCCAACTTCTGAACTCGTCTTTGTGGTTGTGCCCATCGTCGCAGTTGTCGTGGTCGGCGTCTCTGTCCTCGGCCGCCTCATCCTCCTCCTCCTCCTCCTCCTCCTCCTCCTCGCCCTTGTCATCCTTGTCGGCGTCCTTGGCCTCCTCGTCGTCACCCGTTTGCACGCGTCGCCATCGCTACTGCCGCCCTTGTCCCGGTTATGGTCGCCCCCGCCGCCGCCGTCATGGTGGTTGTTGGTTGTAGCTCGTGACTCGTGACCCAAGCAACGCTCGCAGGGGTTGGTGTTGCGAATGTTATATGTATATGGTTCAACAGTCTACATCTTCTAGATCAGCCCAACCAGCAATGAAATTTATGGCACCCCTCTATGCAGTTCAGTTTTCTTAAAGCCTGTTAATGGCGCGAGAGAATTGTTCAAGAGTGACAAGCTACAGAACGCTTTCAGATGCCATGCAGGAACATGACGTCTGACCTCAAGCACATCTATCAGGACATTCATGCCGAGATGCTGCTCCCCAATTCTGGGCTGAAAGGCTCCGAGTTCCGTTCTGAACCATTGTTCCTCTGGTATGATTACTTCTGTTGCCCGCAACTCGAGAAGACGGACTTCCCCAAGGCCATTGACTCCATCCCAGCATACGTTGCCAAGTGTGCCTTCTTCTTCGTCCTGGTTCCGGTGATTGAGTCTCCAAGCATGTCCAAGGTTTTCACACCTGCATCGTGGGCGGCCCGCGGATGGTGTCGCATTGAAAGGCTTTGCAGAGAGCTATCAGGAACGGAGAGTTCCTACATCATTATCAAGAGCAAGACTCAGTTCGAACTCACCTCCTCAACCGTAGGCTCCTTTGGTGGACCTCCAGGTGAGGGTACCTTCACAGTGGCCGCAGACAGGACCAAGCTTGGCCCAGTTCTCCAGAAGGCTCTACACAGGAAGTTGTTAATGCTGTTGGAGGCGCAAGATTTTGTGGGCTACCGTGTGTGGATGAACCTGCAGGCCGTCCTTCTCAGAGGATTTATGGTTCAGCCAATGCACACCATACTCCCAGCTGACCGCGAGATCGAAGCAAACCTAGACGTGGCCTCCCACGAGGTTGCAGATTTCTTGTTGCAGAATGGTTTTGCTGCAGTAGGAGACGTGGACAGTTGTGGATGGTCGCCAATGCACTATGCTGCCCTTCGTGGGGAGCCCTTGCTGATACAAAGCTTGATCGAACAGCGAGCTGACCCTGACTGCAAGGCCAAAAAGGCCAACCCCAAACATGGCACCACCCTTGCCGGGGTTTCGGCGCTGGATTTGTGTCTCGTGCACCGGAACAATGAGGCTGCACGCCTCCTGATCGCTGCCAATGCCAACGTGAACGGGGCCTGGGGGCTCTCCTCAGCATGCATAGGTGACAATGCTGAGGGTGTCCGCATGCTATGCGAGGCTGGTTGCAGTCCTCGTCATAAGGACAAGTACGGCACATCTGGGATTCGTACTGCCTGCATGTTTGGGTCTTTGTGGGCTTTACAGGAGCTAGTTTCGCAACTGGGACCATCTCTGGAACCGAAGGATTTGTCCCAGGCCCTTGACATTGCTACAATTTTTCGAGGGCACGGGGAGCTGGTGAAGCGGCTTATAGATCTGAAGGCAGACGTGAATGAGAAGATGGAGCTCAAATGGGATGCAATAAGCATCTTTATCAGGTTGAAAGCCCTACATCTAAAATTTGGCATGGACTCCCCCCTCACGCTTATTTGCTATCATTATGCAGGAAGGACACCGCTCATGGCCGCCATTCTGATCCTTTTCTGCATGGGACCTCATAGTAGCTCACAGATGATCCCACAAAGATTACAGAAGTTTCCTTGTCTTTTCCATTCCTCCATTCCTACCCGGAGCCCTACAACCCATTAGTTTCCATTGTGTTTTCCACTCTTGCTCCGTACCAATGGCCGTCCTGAATTCACTATACAGCCCCGTGTGTAAACCCAGTTTCCATTTCATGGCCAGGTTCCGTTGCATTTGGTTCCCCATTTGTGGGGGCACTATCCCGAAACCTTAGAACTTCGACATGATAGGGGCCCAAATAAACACCGAAATATTCGAGCCCTCACTAACAGACCTTCCCAAAGTGAGCATTATTTATGTGACACCCTAATCCCGGTAAACTACTGCATAATACTGCATGGCCTCGTTGTTCATTTCATGCTCCATGTTCCTTTCCATTTGATCCTCCAATATTGGCAAACCCCAAACCCTACATAGTAGTTTCCGCCCTTGTTCCATTGTCCCTATATGTCGTCATTTTGGGATACACATGGAAACACCCACATCCAGCAGAATTCGCTAGATAGCCGCAGTTTCCATTTCATTGTCCATCTTCTTTCCCACTTCATTCTCCAATATTGGGCCAAATATCCCTATAGAACCGCTGAATCCTGGATGAACCCCTGTTCTAAGTCCTGTACAATTCCCAAAAGGCCTTCGATCCCAAACCCTAAACTCTAAACCCTAAACCCTAAACTCTAAAACCTAAGCTGTGAACGCCTAGTACCATTATCCTTATGATTGAAAACTTCCACATCCAGCAAGGATGGGTCAATATGAGAGCGCAGCCATCCTTATCGAAGCGGGGGCCAGGTGGGGCTTAGAATCTTTAGGGTTTTGGATGTAGGGTTGAGGGCTTAGGATTTAGGGTTGAGTGTTTAGGGGTTTAGGGATTAGGTGTTTAGGGCTTCGGATTTAGGATTTAGGGTGCAAGGTTTACAGGAGTTCTTTAGGATTTAGAATAAGGGCTTACATAAGATTTACAGGGGTTCTATAGGGATGAAGTGCCCAATATTGGAGAATCGACTGGAAAAGAACATGGAAAATGAAATGGAAACTGGGGTAATAGTCCCCCGTAAGTAGATAGGATATTGGATATACGGTGATCTTATTGTAACCTACCCAAAGTCATACTCTATCTTCTTAAGGGGGACTTTAACCCTAAACCCTAAACCCTATATGTAGTGGACCAGGTTAGACGTCCGAACTCCGAGAGGATTTTCAGCAGCCGACTTCGCCCGTGAGCATGACGTGCCAGACTTCATTTTACAGGCGTTTCAAGGTCAGCCACAGGCATGTGAGAAAGTAGCAGCACTTGCGCTGAATGACGAAATTATTGAGGAATTCCTTTGATGTTTGCGGCCCAATTACATAGATGCTTTGGCCTAAACCTCGGTGCCAGCCCTTATGGCTGTGCATTTTTTAAATGCGCCATGTGAGCAGCTAGTTAGCTAGCAGCTGAAGTACATGAGCACTCTCATCTTTCTCACCCGTTCCATGTTTCACCTGCATCTCCTTGATCCGGTGGACCTTATACTGCCACAGGCATTTTCCACAATATTCTGTTTTTTGGTGAGTGCCATGGGCGAGAGCTCGTTGGCAGGCACACGAAAATTGCGCGCGGTAAAGAGGTCATGTGGGTGGTTTCATCAACAAGGGGGGCCCCAGGATAGACCCTTACCATCCGGACTCGTACTAGAGGGAGTCCCTAACCCGAAAGAATCCCTGTTTCAAAGTACAAACCAGTTATGCCTGCTGCATACTTCCCCTTGACTGTGAGTCCCTAAACCCTAAACCCTAAACCCTAAACCGCGTGGCTCCAAAATAACCGTCTTGAGCACTCGTACCTTTTAGGGTTTTGGGTTTGGTGTCAAGGTTTGGGCTTTGGGGTGTGGCCCCCCTTAAGGAGATAGAATATGGGGTTTATGGGGGTCTCATTATCATATACCCAAAGCCAAATTCTATCTACTTAAAGGGGGATAATATGTCTAGTTTGTAATTTTGTAATATGACCTCAACTATTTTCCAACATTTTTGGTTTCAGGTCGAAGGGGTTGCAGTATAGGGGCTATACTGGGATGTATAGGGTTTCTGCAATGAGGACCCTTTACCCTAAACCCTAAACCCGTATGTGGGGTTTACGGACCCTTGGCTCTACAGATGGCCTGGACGCGAAAGCGGTCCTTGATTCAGCCTAAACCCTAACCCTGAAGTCGGCAGGCTAAACCTTAAACCCTCGTATATATTTAGGGTTTAGGGTTTAGGGTCTAGGGTTCATATATATATATGTATATATACATGTTACTGGCGCCAGTGCATAAGGTAAATCCACTTGTCCATAAGGAAAACCCACTTGTGCATAAGGGAAATCCGCTTGTGGATAAGGTAGGTCACTTGTGCATAAGGTAGGTCTGACTTGTACATGAGGTAGATCTTACGTCGCGCAGGTAAACTTGACCTAAAAAGGTGAGGTCAACCAGCTTACGAAGTAGGGCAAACTATGTCAAATCTACTCGTGCCTAAAGCAAATCCTACTTGTGCACAAGGTGAGTCTTACCTGTCAGTAAGGTGGCCTCGCAGGAACTTCCCAGGGTTTTCAGGGACCTAAAGGCACCCAAAAAACCTTCCTACTGGCTTTCCAAAGGCTTCCCAGGAGGCCTCGAAGGCCAAGAAAAAGAATGGAGCCGACAAAAACGGATGACTTTATACTTTCTTGATGCTAGAGGATTGTATGAGCGAGTGGGCGTTACTCTTGAAGTTGATCTCGTTGCTCTACTAAGTTACTAGAGAATGCCTGTACTTGGGATGCCGAACCCTAAACCCTTAACAGTCTTCGTTACTTAAGTCGTAGGAACAGCCAGGTTGCTACCAGGTCGTGTCCTTTAGGTTTAGGGTTTCGGCAAAAGGGTGTAGGGTTTAGTGTTCAAGGTTTGAGGTTTAGGGTTTAGTGTCTTCTACTATAGATGACTCGAGTGAATGGGATACTATATGGCGATTTCCAGAATTCATCAAACCCTATATCTCCCCATAAACCTACAGTTTCCATTTCATTGTCCATTTGCTTTTCCAGCCGATCCCCCGTTTGGACCCTCAAATCCCTAATCATCTTCTAAGCGTGACCTTGCACAGGGGAGAGAGCAGTTCATTGATCCAAAACTGGGGGTTTGCAAAAATTGGGCCCCCCTTGTGGGAGTCCGTGTATTACATTAAAAGAAATGCTATGGTAGTAGTGAATTGGGTCTGAATTATGCGGGGGCCCCCTGTGGATGGCGACGGGTACTGCTACTTGCAACTGTGGGGTCTGTATCCGCTGCTGGTGGCGTTGGTGGCGGTGTTGGTGGTTGTTGTGTCTATAGCGTATTATAAAAACGATACATACAGTACCTATCTCGGGCAAGTTGGATCCTTGAAGATATTTCTTCTTGGTGACCCAATAATAGGGGGTACAAAAGTCCATGAATACTGCCTACTTTAGGCCCCCAACAGTCCGCAGAACCAAATCATAGGGCCTTACGTCCCAAATACCGTTAACATTATAGTATTTGGGCCCTAAAACCCTACTATTATTTGGGTCCTGGGACCCTAAACCCTAAACCCCAAACCCTAAACCCTATATATACCCCTATAACCCCCTTTAAAGGGACCCGATTATTTGGGTCCTGGGACCCTTAGGGGGCTATTGGGAGCCTTGAGGAGTACGGCTGAAGCTTTGGCTAGGTGCCTTTCGTCGGTCGCATCCCAGTGGCGTCACCACTCAAAGGCTGCTTGGGTGTGGGGTGGGGTGTAGCGGTTTAGGGTTTAGGGTTCAGGGTGTAATTAGCTGTGGGGATCCAAGGCTATGAAGAATGATACCTATCTGTTAGGTGGACCCCCCACCCAGTAATAGTGACTATAGGGGTTAATAGGGATTATATATTCCAATAATTAAACACTATTACAGGGTGGGGGGTCCTCCTAACCTATCTGGCGTCCACAAAGTCTGTAATATAGTACCTACTTGAGGCTACTTTGATCCCTAGGTGAGGTCTTAGTGGATTTTTGCTGCTTGTTTTCTACCTTGTTACCTGTCCGAAGTGGTGCACTGCGTAATGGTTACCTTGCTGGTTCTTAGTTGGGAATAATGGAATATCATATTAGATAGGGATTATTTTCCCTTATTTCCTACTATAACAATCTCAGTAGAATCCTTAACGTGTACCTTAAAACATGGAAACCCATAGCACGCTCACGATTTCACAATCGCCGCAGCCCCAGAAATATGCACGCCAAGCATCGCATTGAAATTTCGACGCGGACATGTGAGGGTTCCGAAGAATCGTCGTCGGAGTGATATGAGTAGCTGAGTTGCTACTGATGAACTCTAAGGGTTACCATTACAATAAAGCCGCAGTACTGCGTAGTATATAGGTAGATTGGGTACTGCCCCCACCCGGTAACAGTCTATATTAGGGGTTCTATATAAGGGCTATATCTAACCATATTGCAATTACTATCCAACTGTAACTGAGGGGGGGGGCAGTACCCAATTGGTAGACATGATGCCCTAAACCCCCAACAGGTAGACATAATACCCTAAACCCTGAACATTGCGGTAACTTAGCTACAACGTTCCTGAAAATGATTATTCATTTCTGTTACCACTAATCCTAATATTTAGCTGAAATTCTAATTTCTACTGGGGTTCCAAATCCCTTGGAGTTAGTTCATTGACAGCAACTCAGCTGATGTTGAAACATTGCTACAGCAACCTATACGCATGGCCGACCTCGACCTCGATATCCTCAGCTCTAAACCCTAAACTCTGAGCCCTAAACTCTAAACCCTATAGGGTTTAGGGTTGGGGGTTTGGGGTTTAGGGATTAGGGCTTAGGGTTGGGGGTGTGGGGTTTGGGGTTTAGGGTTTAGGGTTTAGGGGTCTAGGGTTTAGGGACCCTAAACTGTAAAACGGGTTGCTGTTGGGGAACTTGATCGAGGCAACTTTGATATGGACACACATGGGCTACAGTGTAAACTCCTTAAAGGGGGTTATGTCTCGGGGATAGGCCAGTATCGGGGGGGGGGGGTTATTAACGGGGATACTAGGAGTTTAGACTACATAGCTCATATGGGGTTTAGCGTTCGGGGTGCAGTACCTGGTATGGTTTCCGTGTACTGGTAACTGTATTTCACATTCCAAGCAGCAGCCGTGTACACTGACAGATTCAGCTTCACGATGCTGCGTCTAGGCTAAGTGTATAGCTGCGGGTTCTGTTTGTTTCCAGTATCACCTGGTCATAAGTTAGGTTTTCCCTACCTGTGGTTCTTCTCATCAGGTTCTGCGAATTTTAACTTTATTCGGTGTCGAGGGTAGTCGTCCAAGCCTCAACCCTAAACCGAAAGGAAGTGCGGAGTTGAAAGCAACACCCTCCCTCAAGCCTCCGACCAGGAGCAGGTCAGCAGCCAATGTTTTGTGCACGGAGCTGAGACAACGGAGCTCAGTCATAGCTGCAGTATTTGCAGGAGTCAGGACTGAGAACTAGCAGAAATTGCAGATGTGGACAACTTACCCCTTGGTACTTCAACATCATGCAAGGAATGATGAAAGCGGCAATGTGGATCCAACATGGAGGGTGGAAGCATGAACAAGGGAATAGCATCGTGTTCAAGCGAAACATGGAACAGCAGTTCTGCGTCTTGTCAAGATTCAGGTTTAGGGTTTAGGGTTTCCGAGGTGCAGAAGAACCCTTGGTTCATTTTTGGTTCGTCAACATGGCAGACTTCACCAGCGGCCTGCAGCAGTGTAGCGTCAATTCAACTTACGCAGAACTCCCTTTCAACAAGCCGAGACATGACTTACAACCCTACCCAAACCTCCAAAACAGTGTCAGTAAAGCCCAGCGAGAACTTGCCTCTGCATAACGAGGAATGAAGGAATGATGGACCCTTATAGTATTTCTGGAAAACATCCATTCCTAGACTCTCTGCTCGACAGAAGTAGGCTAAACAACCCCTATATAAACCAAGTTTCCGCTTGATTTTTCATTTGATTCTCCATTATTGAGGTAATATCCCTAAACCCTAAATACTATGGTAGTTTCAATGTTTTTTCCAATGCCCTTACATTGCCTTGTCCCTATTCAACCCCATGTATCCTCATCTATACCCCTAGATTTGGGCATAACCCTGAACCCATTCGAAACATCCCTAAACCCTAACCCCGATGCCGATACCCTAAGTCTTGAATCCTAGACCCTAAGCCTTAAACCCTAAACCTTAATCCTTATAAACCCTTAGCTCTATACCAAGCCGAGGCTTGGTATTCTGGTGGTTTTTCCCAGAAGGATGGTGAGAAGCTGCACCCTGACGCATACTTT